TAGCGCTGGCCGTGCCAGAGCTTGTCCCCTGGAAGGGGCTGGGTGCTGCGGGATGTCCTGGGGGTCCTGGGTTGCTCCCGGTTTGGGGACGAGAGCTGTGGGTGCTGCTTGTGCTCCTCCGCTCCCACTGCAGCACTGGCTTCTGCTGCTCTTCGCTTCATTCTGGACTTCAGCAGCCCCCAGAGCTCTTCGGTGTAATTAGCGGATCCTCCCCCTCACCCTCCCCTCTGTTCCCTCCTCCTTTCCCTGGCTCAGCCTCCCATCCCAGCACCCAGAGCAGGGAAGGGAGAGGGGAGAGGCCAGGGAGCCCCGCTCCCCGTCTGGGAGGGAAGGGAAGGGAAGGAAGGGGCAGAAGGGAACGGGAAAGGCAGAGGGAAAAGCTCACTCCTGCCTTCACGATGCTCCCCGAGTCCTGCCCCCTTAAAGAGAACCTGGTCCCTCCTCTCGCTTCTTTCTCTCAAGGACACCAGCAGCAGGGACCTCCCTGCCTGCCCTGCACCCGCTCCCCAGCACCATCCCCAGAGGGGCCAGGGGTCCCCGGGAAGGCGCTGAGATCCTTTGGGAAGGCTCAACCCTTATCAGCCATCAGAGAAGCGAGCGGGACCCGCAGGCAGGAGAAAGCCTGGCAGATGGCATCGGGGCTGAGCCTGCTGGGGCTCTGCTGCCCCTGCCATCCCCCCCAGCCCCAGCCCACGGGAACACCTCCAGAACCAGCCCCGAGGAGCAGATGCCGTGGCAGAGCTGGTTTGCACGGCTGATTTCCCTCCCTCCTCCTCCTCCCAAATCCCTCTCTCTTCCCCCTGCTCTCCCAGCCCTTGCTCGTCCCCAACACGGAGCTGCCCACCCTGGGGGTCACTGTGACATTTCCTGCCTGGTGATGCATCCCAGGAGATGCCTATTGCAAGCCTGACAATCTCCCCTTGTTGTCCCTGCCCCAGGCTGGCCTTGGCCTGCCCTTGTCACCTGCCCTTGTCACCTGCCTGTCCCCTGCCTGCCCGTGGCACCCCCTGTGTCCTGCCCTGCTGCCTGGGGGGATCATTGCATTGTGGAAAGACACGCTGGGTATTGACTTGCAGTCAAATCTTCTCAGCCTCTGGAGGCCCCTGGATTGGTTTCACTCCAAGCAGGGCTTGAAAAAAATCCATCCATCCATCCATCCATCCATGGATCTGATGCCCGTGGAGGCACCACGTGGGGCCATCCCACTCCAATCCCCCATGTCCCTCTGGTGCCCAAAGCAGCTTTTGGTGTGTGCCACTAAACGGGGGGTGGGGCACCCCCAGATCTGACACCCAGACTGAGGTCTGGGGTTGGGGGGAGTGGTTCTGAGGTGTCTCAGCAGCCTGGGATGGGATGTTCCATCTGAGATCAGTGCCCTGCTGTGCTGGAGAAGCCAAAGGGGTGGAGAGCATCTTGTCCTGCTCCCCCTGGCAGCCCTCCACACCCCTTTGGCACAGAGCAGGAAACTGAGGCAGGGCTGCTCCCAAGTGCTGGATTCAGCCTTTGAAACCCCCCCAGGTCCCACCCAGCAGCGAGCAGACCTGGTTGCTGTGATTCCACCACGGATCCCTTGCTCCTACAAGACAAAACAGCATCGTTTCCCCCCTCCTCTTTCCACTGGATCCTCCTTGCAGAAGCCTCTCTGCTCTTCCTGCAGGCAGGCAGGGATGGATGAAGCCTCTCGGGGACATTCCTGCCTTCCAAAGCTCATAAAAGCCTAGGAAAGCAACGGGGAAGGATTTTAACAACCATCCAAAGAGCTCAGATGGTGGGGGGAGCCCAGAAATCCCTCCAGGTCCTTCAGGTGTGCAGCACAGGGAGGGTTTACGTGGCCACCGAGGTGCTGCATCAACCATCCGAGCCCTTCTTTCCTGGCCTCAGAGCAGCTCCCGTGGCCCATTTTTGGTGGTGTCAGGGCACCTTCCCTGCCTTGGAAGTGCTGCTTAACAACCCCTGCTCCTGGCAGCCCCTGCAGTGAAGGTGCAACCACGGCCAGGGCTCCCTGCATCCTGCAAAGAGGGTGCTGGGCTGGGGTGGGCAGCAGTGACAGGGTCTTGTTTCTCCTCTGCTGTGCTTGAAATGGAAATGGAATTCATCATTAGCCACTCCGTGGGTAATTACCATCTGAAGCCATTCATTAGCCTGCCAGTTTATTTGTTGGAGGATGACAGAGTGGAGCAGTTGTTCCAGGCTGAAGGAAGAGCTGACATGAGCTCAGCTGGGAGAGGGAGCAGAGCAGGGATTGGGAGATACAAAGGCAGCCTGAGGGGGATCAGGAGAAAAAGCACTGGGAAGAGGATGGGGAGTCGTTTAAAATGGAAAGGGCACAGATGGTAAAGGCAGGAATGGAGAAAAAAATAGGAATGAAGCAATTCCAGCCTGTGCATTGCTGGTCTGTCCTCCCTGAGCATCCATCCTGGTGGCAGATGGAGAGAGGTGCCAGGGTTGGGACTCAAGGACCAGTTTCTTCCTCTCTTTTCCCATTCCATTTCCTCTCTGAGCACCCCACATCCCAGTCCCACAGGCTGCCAGGACCCCACAGGCTTTGGGACCACATCTCAGATGGGTTCCCTATCCCAGAGACTCCAACCAAGCTTGGGAAAGGGGAAGTGTGTGGGGGGGGAAAAAACCCAAAACATCTTCCTAACAGAGGCCAGGGCAGCTGGAGAGGAGCAGTAACCTGAGCTCCTGTCCTCCTCCTGCCCTCTCAATATTTTCTTTCATCAGAGGTGGCCCTACATGGGAGCAGCTCGGAAAGTTCAAGCACCTGATACAAGGAAGGTCCTGGTGCCAGTGCCCATCTCTGCGTCACATCAGGCTCAGGTCTCAGGCTCTCATCACGTTGCACTTGGCTGTGGGTTGATGCCCGGGGCTGATTGCAGCCCCAGGGAGGGATGTGGGTGAGTCCCTGGGGTGCTGCCACTGCAAGGACCCCCCTGCCCTCATCCTAACCAGCCTCTGAGGTGCTGCTTTCCAGGACCATCCCAGAGGATGCAATTCCAGGCTCCCAAGGGCTGTCTGGAGAGGGCAGAAGAATCCTAGGAGGGTGGCACTGGCTGTCCCTAAATGAGCCAACAAGAGAAACCCCTTGTCCCTACCAGAAACAGCAGAGCACGAGATAATCCTCGTTTTGGGTGGGCAGGAAAAGAAAAGGGAAAATAAATCCCTTCCCTAGGATAAGTCCCTTTGCAAAGCTGCAGCCCAGTGAGCAGGGCGACACTGTAAGGTTTAATAAAACCCCACTGGTCCTGACCAGCCCCATCTGGGACCCCCCACTGGTCCTGTCCAGCTCCATCTTGGACCCCCCACCCACATCCTGCCCATGGCCCAGCAGCTCTATTTCAGCTCAACCAGTTTAACTGGTTCCTGGCTCAGCTACAGGCACCCTCATGCCTGCTGCTCTGCACCCCAGCTCGTGGCCACCTTGGACCTGCCACGCAGGTTTAACTTCACAGCTTGGCTTTCAACCTGCCTGTGAACTTGCTGGTTGTTCTGGACCCTTGGTTGAATCTGACCACCCTCCTCAGCCTGCCCTGCTCGGGTCGTGTGGGACTGGGCAACCTTCACCCTGGCCTTGTGTCATCCCCTGGGCTCCCCAGCCCTCCCCGCCAGCCAGGGGTGCACGCATCTGTTTGGTTTGGGAATGATCTCTTCTTGCAGAGCCTGCAGGCAGAGCAAAACACGGTGCTGAAGGCAAGGAGCAGCCCTGCAGTTGGCAATCCCCAAGGTCTCGATGGGATGGGAAGTGTTGGGCGACCTGAGGCAGGCAAAGCAGCAGGTATAGAGCAGATCCAGCCCAGAGGAAGCTCAGGAGACAAGACATGAGGGTGACTGAGCAGCTCCCAGGGCGCTGGGCCAGCACAGCACTCCCAAGTCTCAGAGCACCCCCGTGAGGTCTCACGTTTGGATGAGGAGATGGGTCAGAGGGGGGATCTGCAGCCTCCTCCCCTTCCCCCCTGCCTGGTGGTGTTCCTGGTGCTCTCCTGCTGTGGGGCAGGGGCTGGAGCTGGATGGCTGGGGGTCCTGCTCTCAGCAGG